TTCCTACCCTCACATATCCTCTTATAGCAGGGGTGTCAAACTCATTTTCGCTGGGGGCCACATCAGCCTCATGGTTGCCTTCAAAGGGCTGAATATAATTTTAGGACTGTATAAATGTTAACTATTCCTTAACTAGGAGCAAGGAGCTCGGCGTTGCCTCTGGGTAGAAACAGGGTACCTGCCAGTCAGATAGAACCAGGTGGAGGGCCAGATTCTGCCCACAGGCCTTGTGTTTGCCACCTGCGCTCTATAGCCAGCTCTAGTCCTACCACCTTCACGAAGTTGTTCTTAACTGGGACAACCCAACCTTCCCAGCTTTTCTCTGTTGAATTCCTACCCACTATAGTCTGCATTGTTTGACACAATTCTGTACACATCCCAACCACCCGATTCTAGTAAAAAATACTGTGCAAAAACTTTAATCTAACCTAATTGATCAAATCTCTACAGGAAATGGAGAGGACTGAAGAACATGTTAAGTAACACGATGGGAATGAAATCTACAAAATCCAGACCAAGGGAAGCCACTGATTTCTTCAACAAATAAATTGCAGGGATAGAAAGTGGGGAGATGGAGAGTGAATTTGTAGCTGAAGTAGCCTTAAGAGACATACCAATTGTTTGCCACTGGAATACTGGAACATATACAGATCATGATTAAATAATGTGAAAATTAAAAATGAACATTTGACATTTTTAAGACAACTGGAAATTTGAATACTGAACTTTTTTACATTAAGGGGTTACTGTTAATTTCTTTACACTTTAGAGCTGTAATAGTATTGTGAGTTGTCCTTATCTTTTAGAGATGGAATACTAAAAAAATTCAGATATGGAAAAATAAATACACAAATTACTGTAATAAATAAAAACAACGTATGGTTCCTGTTCCATAGCCTCATGTACAACCAGGATTGTACACTTACGACAAACAGTTTAAAGACCTACTTTAGGATCTAAGTTTGAAATTTAAAGAACTATAGTTAGATGCTAAGTATGACTGGAATAATTGATGCTATTAGATGACACGGAAGATATGAACTTAAAAAAAAAAAGACCAATCTTAAATAGACTGACAACTCCAAGTACTTTCCAATTTTATGCTATTCCAAGCTTGTTCCCATCCTTCTCTCAGTTACTGGAAATTCAAACTGACTCTTCCTTCTTCATCATCTCACTCTGCTGGTTAGCTTGCTGCCCACCTATGTAGATTTGTTCTCTGCAATAGTTCTCCTAGCCACAACCTATTTTCCTCTATACACTTGTTCATGCATTTGTCCTATATACTTACCTTAAGTACTTCTGGTACAGGCACTAAACCCTGCCCTCTCCAATTCATTTTATGGCCAAGTTTTTCTAAAGTAGAACTCTTATTTTGTCACTCCTGTGTTCAAACTTCTGTGGTTTCCAACTGTAGAACAAAGCCCAAACTATAGACTGAAGGCTGTATTTAAAGGATGTCCATGGCATATCTGGCTTCAACTTAAGCTTACAATCATATTTCTACTGTAATTCAATTGAACTAAATAAACTATTTTATATTTAGTCTCTTCTCTAATCTCCAAACTATAACAGCTGCCTATCTGAAATCTCTTAGATGTCTCAAAAACACTGTGAATTCTATTCTACTCAATTGAACTTACTGTTAGTCCCCAAGTCTAACCCAGGTGATCCCTATATTATGTAAGCTAGATACCTAGGAGTTATCCTTAGCACCAACCTCTTCCTTACCACTAATCACATCTACTATAGATTTTACTTCCTAGATTTCTCATCTGCTTCACCAACTACTTCCTAACTGATCTACCCATATATCTAAAGTTACCCTCCAACCTGTGCTCCATACTGAAGCTAGAAATAACCTCTTAAAAATGTAAACTAATCACATTCACAATCCCCATACACCTCACCCACCTCTTGCTTATAGTTCAAAATAGCTTCCCTACAGTTTGGCACCAGTCCACCTCTTCCACCTTATCTCAAACCTGCCTCACTTGCTCTCCGTGCTCCAGCCACACTGGTGTGTTTTCTGTCCCTAAAACTCACAGGTTCCCTTCTGGAAGGCTCTTCCCTCACAGCTTGGCCTATATCCTTATACTTCAGATTTCAGTTTATAATTATTTTTTTACAGAAGGCCTTTCCTGACCTCCATACCTACGTCAAACTCTCCATTACTGACACTCAGAGTACCCTGTATCTCTCCTTCATAGTACTGACCACAGATGCAATCTTACAACTATGTGATTATTTAATTACTATTCATTTTTCATCACTAGATTGTAAGGCAAGGCATCCATAAGAGTTTACATCTGTTTTTATTAACTATTTCATCTACAAAACTGAGCTTAGTGACAGCACTCATATTTTTTTAAATAAAAATATAGTATATGCTGTATAAAGCTTTTACTTTCTCCTGGTTCTGCTTTTGTTCAGGGTGTTGAATATTAGTAAAATGTTCAAATCCTTTCCAGCTTTAAAACTCACCTCAGATACAATCTCAACCTCAAACCTTCTCCAGTCCTCCACTTAACTTGTAAATCTCTCCTTTTCCTGAACTTCTCTAACAGAAGCAATTTTTACTATTTGTTACTTATTTCTATACATTTTTTCTCTTCTATTAGACTGAGGAATTCTTAACTAGACTGACATCTTTTGAATTACTTTTCATCTTCAAGATATTTTTTAAATTCTCCAACATCTGAATGAACATGTTATTAATACAAATATAGAATACTTGTAGTGCATGTAGTAGAAAGACATACAAAGAATTAAAGACTTACGAAACCTAAACTATCTAAGGAGGAGTATAAAAGAAATAGGTAACACAGGTTGCCTCCAAGAAGGGAAACTGGGTGGCTGGGGGACCGGAGCAAAAGGAAGACATTTTGCTTTTTTTAAATGTTGACTCACACAAACACATTGTTTTATATATTATTATATGAATCTTGAGTCATGTGAACATATCTATTACAGACCAATGTCATAATTTAACATAAGTAAAAACAGTAAACTTTTGAAAAATAAAACTAATGATACCTACACACTTGAGATAAAACAAGCCAAAATTGCAATCTTCTGCAATCTACTACATAATTTACAACTAGTATCTGCGGTACATTTATACCATGTACAAATAGTGTAGTAAATCAACATGTTATTTCACTTAGTAAGAAAACAACTTGATAGATCATATATAACAGCAATATTCATTCCTTATCTTATTAAACTAAAACCTGCTTTATTACAGAATAAATTTTACATCTATTTCACATGGAATATCTTTATTCCTTATTCTGACATTCATTGGCAGTCTAGCATTAAAAAGGGATGTTTTCCCTTTTTAGTCATTAATGCTTCTTTTTAATGTTCACCACATTCTAAGTCAGATTTCATGCTCTCTTACATATATATGTTCTTGGTAACTGCTATGCTGAATAGCCGTTATCCATCCGACTCAAGCTAGAGGCCTTTATTTTGCCTGAAGAATCCTTTTAGCCCTACTACATCTGTTACTGGACATTTTTATTTCCATAAGAAGAAAGTGGGAATATGAATAGGAATCTAGAAGAAATAAAAGGCAACAACATCAAGGTGGAACTAGGAAAAAGTTGGCAAGGAAGTAGCCAATAATAGTGAGACAAGGCAGTATTATGATGGTTAAGTGATGCCGATGGGTATATTGAAAGTAAGTAGGATGCCTAGGACCACACTCACTTATAAAACTTAAACATAGTGGAAGGAATTCAGGAGAACCTTGGTTAAAATAAGGAAAAATGGTTATAAATCAGAGCTTGGAAAAGGCTGGGTTAAAGTGAGAGTGAAAGCCAATGTTAAGGCAGCAGGAAGATGTAATATAACAAAGCCTATTTGGAAGACATGGAGAAAAATGAGAATATTCATGGTACAACAATGGGGGTGATCTGTCTTTAAAGGGAAAAACAGTGAAAAGTAGAGTGAGTGATGGAAACCAGGGATGGGAAACCATCTGGTCCTTAAAAAAGTGCATCACGGAAGTGGGGTGGGTTAAAGAACCGAACTTCAAAGAGAAAACCTTTATGGAGAGATGTGAGGTTAGGTACTGACTGATGCGCTAGAAAGGCGGGATGGTGAAGCGAGGAGTCTGACTCAGAAGCTTAGATGACAAGCACTGAGAGCGGTACGCAGGAGCTGGACTGGGGGCAGCGGCATGGCCCTGGACTCCCTCACCTTGGCCTTGTAGCTGGGCAGGTTGCAGAGGATGTCCGTGCGCAGAGCCTCTTCTGCCAGGCTGCGGGCACACAGGCTCCGCCACACCTCGCTGTTCTCATCGCCGTGCAGGCAGCGGTACCAGTGCTTGCATACAAGGGCGCAGCTCCGCAGCTCGGACAGCTCCAGGTAGGAGAACACCAACTCCAGCACTCGGCAGGGCAGCCGGCCCCCGATCCCCGAGGACCCAGAACCCGAGCTGGCGCCCGCACCGCCGCCGCCGCCACTACAGCCCGCGCCGCCCGAGGCTGCCCCGGCCCCCGGGGCCGGCGCCGCCATCGCCTCACGAGCCGGCCCGAGGGCCGCCTCCACTGCCGCCGCTTCCCCCCGTCTCTGCTGGGGAGGCCAAGCCTCGCCTAAAGACCGGAGCAGCGCTCACCGCCCCTTTTCCAGCCAACCGTCCGGCCCCTCCGTCACTCCCGCCCCTGCCCGGGGGAGCTCGCCGCGCGCCCCGCCTCACTAAGGGCAGACGCACCCGCCGCTCCGGCGTCCCTCGCCCCACCCCCGCGGTTCCTTCAGCGCGAGCGCTGGAACCGCCCGACTCGCAAGGCCTCCTCGTGGCGCGCCCGCGGCTCCGCCATGCGGGTTGAGGGCACGAAGCAAGGGCGCAAGCCCAGCTCGCTCGCGGTTCCTCTCGGCCCCGGATGTGACTATTTGGTTCAGGCGCCTCACGCCGTTCGCCACACGGGATTGGGCGCTGGTGGGTGACGTCATCACAAGGCGCGGAGGAAGGAAGGGGGAAGAGCAGGTAGGAGTCTGGCGCTGGTGGGGTCGTGGCTAGCCTACGTGCTCTGTCCTCTTCTTGGTCCAGTGGTCCAGTGTAGACATTCCTGTTAGATTTTCCTGTGTCAGTCCGGTCTCTGCTTCAGACTTCACCCTAACACATGAAACGTCTTTCCTTGCTAGCCCGTACCTACCTCCTCCGCCTTCGGCTAAGTTGGAACTTCTTTCTTTAGCTTGGGCACCTCAGGTCGTCTTTTCCTGGTTAGACCTTCTCGTTTTCCCTGACTACCGGTACCTATCAAAACGTGTTTCAGTGTATTTTGAAAGTAAGGTCGCTACCTTGGAACTTCCTCCAGCATTTGGATAACCTTAGTAAGTGCTACATTCTTTTGGTCAAAATACAGCCTTTCCCAGACTTCCCTACTAACACCGATTGATTAGGAGGCGGATTAAGGCGGTGTGCTTTTATTTAATTAGACCCGCTAATGAAGAGAATGACGGGGAGAGTGTAATAGATGGCTTCTTGGAAGGGAAAGAACTTAAGCATGATTTGTCTATACTACGTTTTCCTAGCTAAAAAACTTTCCAAAGAATTTTCTGACAACCTTTAAAGATTATTTAGTAAGAGAAAATAGAAACTCATGTGAGCCAGGCTCTCTAATAGGGTCCTTTACGCGGGTTTTTATATAATTCTCAAATATATGAGGTAATATTAAAATAGGGCTCGCAGATTCTTTTAATAGGCAACTCCACTGTCTTGCCTTTACACAGTGAGAAGTCTTACCAGAAATTCCCTTGCTGTGTATAATTAATTTCTTGTTTGCCAGTAAAAATAAAAGAACGGTAATTGCTTGTGTTCCCTTATTCCCAGGTCATTTCCAACATTCTTTGTAACCCAGATTCTTTTCATTCTTTTTTTTAAAGCAGCATTTAATTCATACTTTTTAGTTTATTTATTTATCTTTAGAGGGGAAAGGAAGAACAGAGGGAGAGAAATATCAATGTATGGTTGCCTCTGTGCATCCCCTGCTGGGAACTGGCCTGCAACCCAGGCATGTGCCCTGACTGGGAATCTAACCTAGATCCTTTGGTTCCCAGGCCCGGGCTCAATCCACTGAGCTACACCAGCCAGCGCTCTTTTCATACTTCATAGTGCCAGTGGCACAGCCCTTTAGTCATTTTGGTTGCTCTCCAGCTTTCCACACCAAGACCAACTTTGGAAAACTCAAACATGTGAAGAAAAGTTGACCTAAACTCATTACAGTGTTAGTGACTGTGGTAGTGTAATCTCAGTCTATGCAGTTTTATTCATTTTTCAGCTTTCAACCATAGGACATCTAACTTTTGTCTGGGAAGCGCTTCACTTTAAATCTTTGAGGCTAAGTAGAGTTTGTACATTTGAGAAGGGGACAAGGAACTAGGCAGAATAAACAGCTTTCAAGGCACAGACACTTACAAAGGACAAGTGGGTATTTGGCAGTATGACTGGAGTGAGTGTTTAGAGTAGAGATCATTAAGTAATTACAGATGTTGGCCTTTATCCTGTGTTTTACAGTATAAGTGAGATAGAACCTTTCATACATCCAATCAGACAATTCTGGTGCTAATCTAGTCCAAGACAATGATGTGACTTTTTGTGGCAGAGTACCCACAAGTGGCCCAGGTAGAATTTCAAAATAGGAAGAAATTTTTCTTATCACCTCCTTTTCTTTATACAAATATTTCACTTGCTCATCACTCTCCTGACCATGTCCCATCCCTCCTGTTCAGTGTCATTCTGACTGTTCAGTACTGTCAGTTGTTGCACTCCACCTTTTCTAAAAATACTCTCAAAATACCCCACCTTTCCCCACCCACACTCCATGATCTCATTAGCTGTTAGAAGGAATCTAGTATATAATTAAAGTAATTCACAATAGGATATGATTGTTGTGCTTGACCCTTCAGGCATCTGTGTATGAGAAGTTTGTTGACTTGATACATGAATGTGGGCATGATAGCACTTAACCTACTCCTTTTTCTGGTGGGCTTTCCAATCCCAATAAGAGAAAAACAAGAAATAATGGCTCGACAGCTTACTTCAGAAAGATTGTTTTCATTTAATGCACATTTAATTACATTTTTCCTACTGCCTTTTACCACAACAGTCTGATTATTTAACTATTTGATAGTGGTCTTTGGATGTGTTTCAAGTAATAACAAATTTAAATGTTGCAGACTAAGTAAAGTGATTTGGGGGACTTTGGTTGACTTATGGGCTCAATGCTTTGCATGGTAAATGTTGCGTGACTAAAATCAAGAGCCTCAGTGTATGAATTTCTGGGGGTTCCCCAAGTCTTTAACATTCCCTGTATTAGGTCTCTGTGTTGTCGTTGTTTAAATATATTTTATTGATTATGCCATTACAGTTGTCCCATTCCCCCCTGCACACCTCTCCCCCCCAACATTCCCCCCCTTAGTTCATGTCCATGTGTCCTAAGTTCTTTAGCTTCTACATTTCCCATGCTATTCTTTCCCTCCCCCTGTCTATTTTCTGCCTACCATTTATGCTACTTAGTCTCTGTACCTTTTTCCCCCCTCTCCTCCTCCCACTCCCCTGTTGCTATCCCTCCATATGATCTCCATTTCTGTGGTTCTCTTCCTGTTCTAGTTGTTTGCTTTGTTTTTGTTTTAGGTGTGGTTGTTAATAATTGTGAGTTTGCTGTCATTTTACTATACATGTTTTTTTCTTTTTCTTAGATAAGTCCCTTTAACATTCCATATAATAAGATGTTGGTGATGATGAACTCCTTGAACTGACCTTATCTGAGAAGCACTTTATCTGCCCTTCCATTCTAAATGAAAGCTTTGCTGGATAGAGCAATCTTGGATATAGGTCCTTGCCTTTCATGATTTAGAATACTTCTTTCCAGTCCCTTCTTGCCTGTAAGGTCTCTTTTGAGAAATCAGCTGGTAGTCTAATGGACGCTCTTTTGTGGGTAACTCTCTCCTTTACTCTTGCTGTTTTTAAGATTCTCTCCTTTATTTTAATGTTGGCTAATATAATGATGATGTGCCTTGGTGTGTTCCTTCTTGGGTCCACCTTCTTTGGGACTCTCTGAGCTTCCTGGACTTCCTGGACATCTATTTCCTTTACCAGATTGGGGAAGTTCTCCTTTATTATTTGTTCAAATAAGTTTTCCACTTACTACTATTCCTCTTCCCCTTCTGGTAGCCCAATAATTCAGATGTTGGAATGTTTAAAGATGTCCTGGAGGTTCTTAAGCCTCTCCTCATTGTTTTGAATTCTTGTTTCTTCATTCTTTTCTGTTTGGTTGTTTCTTTCTTCCTCTGGTCCACTCCATTGATTTGAGTCCCAGTTTTCTTTCCATCACTATTGGTTCCCTGTGCATTTTGCTTCATTTCACTTAGTGTAGCCTTCATTTTTTTCATCTAATTTGTGACTGAAATCAACTAGTTCTGTGAGCATCCTGATCACCAGTGCTCTGAACTGTGCATCTGATAGGTTGGCAATCTCTTGGTGGCTTAAAAGTATTGGCTCTGGGGCTTTGAGCTCTTCTTCTGCTTGAGCTCTTTGGTCAGGTCGTGCCTGTTGCACGTGAGAGGCGGAGCCTTAGGTGTTTCTCAGGGTGGGGCAACCCAGTTGCTGGGTTGTAATGCTGTATGTGGGGGAAGGGTCAGAGAACGAACAATGGTGCTTGCTTTGCTCTTTCTCGAATTTCAGTCCCCTCTGCTGCTTCCCATAAGCAAATTGGGTCCTTCTGGTGCTGGTTCCCGGGTGGGTGGGCTAGTGTACATTCTAGGACCCTTTGGGTCTGTCCAGCAAACTCTCCTGTGAGGCTGGGAGTCTCTCCAGGCACTTCAACCCCTGCAAGTTTTTTCAATTGATGCTTTTAGGCTTTATTTCCCAGCGCTGGGGCACCCTGGGTTGCACGATCTGTTTCACTGCCCATTTTTGCCTGGCTTATCTGTGTGGGAATGTGTGGCCAGGGTCAGCCAGCTGCCTTGCGTGCCTCACTGGGTCTGCTTGTTTCCTCCCAGGCCTGGAGTCTGTTGTTAGCCCCATGCTGCCTGCACGTCCTGGTCTGCCAACCACAACTTTTTCCTGCTGCAACCCCTCTTGGGGGGGGGGGGCAACTCCACCCCGCTTACTGGTCTGGATGAATGGTTCTTTGTTGTCGGACTTCTGTACAGTTCAGTTTTCTGTCCGTTCTGGTTGTGTTTTTGTTTCTAAATCTTTGTTGTCCTTAAATTTGGTTGTGCGAGGAGGTACAGTGTTTCCACTTACACATCCATCTTGGCCAGAAGTCTTGTTTTGTTTTGTTTTTAACTAGCTAGGTAGTCAGTAAATATTATCCATGTGATATGGAGATTAGAAGTTTAGTTTTTTGTCTTGTGTTTTTACTCTGGAGCGTAGAGGTTAAGATCTATCTGTCCTTGGTCTTATGAGCAAGAGTTACTACTGGTTGTATTATGGAGAAATTTAGAGGAACCATTCTGTCTATAATCCTTTAATACAAAATCCATTTTTGTATTAAAATCTATTTTGTAATAAAAATCCATCACCTGACCTCATACTTTGCCATGGAGCATAACCAAATGTATTTTTTAAATTGAGCTCTTGCTGGTGTAGCTCAGTGGATTGAGTGCAGGTGGTGAATCAAAGGGTCACCAGTTCTATTCCCAGTCAGGGCACATGACATGCATAACCTGGGGGCCAGGTTGCAGGCCAGGTCCCCAGTGAGGGCCATGTGAGAGGCAACCACACATTGATGTTTTGCTCCCTCTTTCTCCCTTCTTTTCTCTCTAAACATAAGTAAATAAAATTTTAAAAATGATAAATAAAATTGAATTAAACTTTTCCACAAAAGAATTATATTAGGAAGAAAACCTGCTAAAACTTTTGTCTCCCTGTAGCATTTACTTAGGTCACCTGTGAGAAACCCTGATTCATTCTTATCTGAGAGAAAAAGTAAAATCCCAGTAGGAATCCAAAAGCTGTAGAGGGCAGACTTCCAGAATTTAATGTTAATACACCATAGAAAAATTAAAACTCTAACTTAGAAAATAAGTGTTCAGTAATTTAAGGATTTATTACAGTTTTAAACAAAATTATTTATAACTTAAATGGCCTTTTCAATGTCTAATTCAAATTTCATATTTTAAGGTAGGATATTGTCTTTATTATTATATATAAGTTAACAGTCACCACAGACGGTAGTTCCTAAGCCTAAATAATATTACTATCTTTCATTTTTAATTATACTAAGTGTTTTTTCTTTCTTGTTTATCTGGAACATTTGGCAAGAGGCTTCGTTATGGTAGAAAATTCCTTAACTAGTATTTCAACACTTGTCAGCAAACTCAAATCACCCAGGGTTCCCTTTCTTAACTTCCTTCTGAGTCATTTCCTCTCCAAACCTCTCCATTAAAACACTTGTTTCAGTCTCTGTTTAATTAGTTTCATCTGTAATACTAGTTGAGTGGTTCCCCTGAGATTTTTTTAATGTATCTTTGTCTTCCCATTTTGTCATCTTTATGAAAATTGCTTTACCTGATTTTGTGCCATTTCTGTTAACTTTGATTATTAACAGATTAGTGATCTTTTTGCAGTCTAGTGATTTGTGTGTGTGTCTAAAAATAGGAGTGAACAAGCTTTGTATTGGGAATAGAAAATTTAAGCAGATTGCCAGATTATTTTAAATGGTTTTTCAAAACAATATTGGAAATTTAACTCTGTGTCATTGAAGAAAATTAAGGTGTCAAACCCAAAGCTAGTAGAGCACCTATGGCAGTTTTTCACTAGGTATATTCTCTCTTGGTTGGTGAAGTGAAAAACTAAATTTGTCCAGATTTGTTTGCTTCCTTCTGTCTGACCATTTGACCATTAGAGTTGTGTAAATTGCCCAGATCTCCTTTTTCACTTTGTCCATAGGCCAGTGGTGTCAAACTCATTTTCACCCAGGGCCACATCAGCATGGAGGTTGCCTTCAAAGGACTGAATGTAATTTGAGAACTAAATAAATGTACCATAACTACTCCTTAACTGGGGCAAGGAACTCAGTGCTGCTGCCAAGTAGAAACAAGGTGGAGGGAGGGATTTGCCAGTGGGCCTCGTGTTTACCACCTGTGTCATAGGCAGTTAAAGCAGGGAAGTATGTCACAATTCCAGTTTATAGATCTGGGCTGCCTAGTGTATCAGGAATCTAAATTCTATATAAAGTACTACTGTTATGTAAGTGTGAGTAGGTGATAATGTGATTAAAAAATTGTGAGAACATTTAAAAGCAGTGATAAATTATTACTAGCTTTTGGTTGTTTTCTGTACTTTAAAGGATGCTAACACGTAAATGTGTTGTCAAGTGAAATTGTTAGAAAAGGGTTTTTATTGTTTAAGAGTTTGGTATCCCTCTATATTGGGTCCCTGTACAAATCCCAAAGCACTAGGAAACTTTGGGCAAATTATTGAACATTTCTGAAACTCAGTTTTATTATCCGTAAAATGCAATATATACCAATCAGAAGATTTGTTTTGAGAATGAAAGTAAATAACCTACTGATGTAGTCTCTGATGGTAAGGCTTAAGGGTCTGCATTTATATTTATTTTTTAGACTTTATTTCTTTATTTTCAGAGAGACGGGGAGGGAGGGAGAAGGAGAGGAAGAGAAACATCTGTTGGTTGCCTCTTGCAGGTCCCCAAGTGGGGGCCTGGCTTGCAACCCATGCATGTGACCTCACTGGAATTGAACCAGCAACCTTTTGGTTCACAGGCCAGAGCTCAGTCCACTGAGCCATACCAGCCAGAGCAAGAGTCTGCATTTACAGACTAGATGTTTATTGGTGTAGTATAGGTTCTCAAATTCTAGCATGCATCAGAATCATCTGGAGGGCTTGTTAAACACATTACTGAGCCCCAACTCCAGTTCGTGATTCATGGGTCTAAGGGAAGGTCCCACCATTTATATTTCTAACAAATTTCTAGGTGATGCGGATGCTGCTAGTCTGGAGGTGATACTTTGACGACAATTGGTGTAATATATATGGTGTCACTTTGACCAGCCTCATAAAGATGAGGGAAAGGATAATGGTAATATTTGTTGAGCACTCATTATGTATCAGGCACTATATATGTTTTACATATAGTCTTGTTTAATTTTCTCTGATCCTATGAAATGGGTGTTATCAATATCATTGCCATTTTATAGAGAAGGAAAGTGAGTCACAGAGAAGTTCAGTAATTTGCCCAAAGTCACCCAGCTAATAGGTAGTAGAACTATTCAAACCCAGAGACTCTAGCTCCAGAGCATGCTCTAAAACATCATCCTGATAAAAGATATAAGCTGATTGTGCAGCCCTCTCTTAAAAAGAGTTTTTTCTAATTTAAAATAAATATATTTAGTGTTTATTCTTATGTGAACCTCAAATCAAAGGCTGAAGAACCAGGGTTACCCAGGTCCCTGATTGCAAGGGAAGACCATTTCAGCATGTTCCAGCCTGGGGTACCACAACCATGTGTTCAGCTAGGCTTTTGTAGACTTGATCTTCAAATGTCTTTTTTGTTGTTACTGGGTTTTTTAAGATGTGCTTTTAAAAATATTTAAATGAAATATTATTATTGTATTTGTGTCCTACCATCAAGTTCTTAATTAAAACATGACATTATAATGTTTTCTTCCCTCTTCAGAGTTCTCTGGGCCATTATGGCTGTCAAATGGACTAGTGGACATTCTTCTCCTATTCTCTGCCTGAATGCAAGTCCAGAAGGGCTTGTGGCTTCTGGAGCTGAGGGTGGAGATCTCATGGCTTGGAGCAAAGATGGCACTCCACTGGGACACACATTTTTTCAAGGGGCTGATGATGTTACCAGTGTCTTATTCTCTCCCTCCTGCCCCACCAAGCTCTATGCCTCCCATGGAGAAACCATTAGCATACTAGATGTCAGATCTCTCAAAGGTTCCTTGGACCATTTTCATGTGAATGAAGAAGAAATTAATTGCCTTTCATTGAATGAAACTGAAAACCTGCTGGCTTCTGCTGATGACTCTGGTGCAGTCAAAATCTTAGACTTGGAAAATAAGAAAGTTAGCAGATCACTGAAGAGACATTCCAATATCTGTTCTTCTGTAGCTTTTCGGCCTCAGAGACCTCAGAGCCTGGTGTCCTGTGGACTAGATATGCAGGTGATACTTTGCAAAGATTACTTGGGTAATTTCTAGTGGGATTTGCTAAATATATCTTTGAATTTTTTATTCTCTATTTAGCATCATTTATTTATGAACCATAAGCTTTACTTCTAATACATGTTTCATACTCACTTGACAAAGTCTATTAGATTGTATTCACAAAGTAATCATTAATCCTTTAGTCTTCCCTTTTTTTAGATTTTATTTATTTATTTTTAGAGAAAGGGGAAGGAAGAGAGAAAGAGAGTGAAACATCAATGTGTGGTTGCCTTTTGCACACCTCCTACTGGGGACCTGGCCTGCAACCCAGGCATGTGCCCTGACTGGGAAACGAACTGGCAACCCTTTGGTTCACAGTCCTGTGCTCGATCCACTGAGCTACACCAACCAGGACTAGTCTTCCTTTCTTTATGCTTTAATATGTACCTAATACCTGGGAACTAAAATACTTGATTCTAAATATTTGTTTAAATAAAGAGGAATGCTGAAGGCAGAGTTTATCACCCTCTACAAATGCTGGCTTGTTGTTTTTTTTTTTTAAGTTGAAACTGGATATGTTATTTTTACTTTATTGAGTGCATTAATTGAGGTATTGTAGATTGGTGACCAGGATCAGAGCATTAAATTTAAGCTGAGTTTTTAAAGGAGCATCACAAATTAGCTCAAATTCAGAGGAAGGCCATCAAAAGAGTAGGTGTATCTAGAAACCCCATTATGTGGGAAACTGCAGCTGTGTAAGTTTGCGGGGGTGTTTGTTTTTTAAATATAGGTAATATTCTGTAATTTTTTGATTTTTAAATAAATTTTTTATCAAGTCACAAAAATGAGCTCATTTTTGCAATAATTAAAAAGAAAAGTACTTTATAAATTTATTTTTATTTTTTATTTAATGGTTGTTGAAGTACAGTTGTCTCCATTTTATACCCCCTACCCCTATCCCTACCCCAGCCATTCCTGCTTCCCACTGTTGATCCTACCCCTCTTTGGTTTTGTCCATGTGACCCTTATAGATATTCCTGAATACCCTTCCCTCTTTCCCCCCTTTATCCCCTCCCACCTCCCCTGTGGTTGCTGTCTGTTTGTTCTTAATAATTTCAATATCTCTGGTTATATTTTGCTTGCTTGTTTGTTTTGTTGATTAGGTTCCACTTATAGGTGAGAACATATGGTGTTTGTTTTTCACCACCTGGCTTATTTTTCACTTAGCATAATGCTTTCCAGTTCCATCCATGCTCTTGAAGAGGGTAGGAGCTCTTTTCTTTCTGCTGAGTAATATTCCTTTGTGTAAATGTACCATAGTTTTTTTTTTGATCCATTCATTTATTGATGGGCACTTAAGTTGCTTCTAGCACTTGGGTATTGTAAATTGTTCTACTGTGAATATTGGGGTGCATAGGATCTTTTGAATTGGAGTTTCGGGGTTTTTAGGGTATAATCCCAACTGTGGAATTGCTGGATCAAGAGGCAGTTCCATTTTCAGTTTTCTGAAGAAATTCCACACTGTTTTCCATAGTGGCTGTACCAGTCTGCATTTTCACCAACAGTGCACTAGGGTTCCCTTTTCTCCACATCCTCTCCAACACTTGTTATTTGTTGATTTGTTTATGATGGCCATTCAGACTGGTGTGAAGTGGTATCTCATTGTGGTTTTAATTTGCATCTTTCTGATGGCTAGTGATGCTGAGCATGTTTTCATATGTCTCTGGACCCCTTGTATGTCCTCTTTGGAGAAGTGTCTGTTCAAGTCCTTTGCCCATTTTTTAATTGGGTTTTTTGTTTTCCTAGAGTGAAGTCATGTGAGTTCTTTATGTATTTAGGAGATCAAACCCTTGTCTGAGGTATCGTTGGAAAATATGTTTTCCCATATGGTTGGCTCTGTTTTCTTTAGCTGTACAGAAGGTTTTATTTTGATGAGATCACATTAGTTTATTCTTTCCTTTACATCCCTTGCTCTAGGGGACATAACAGTGAAAATATTGCTGCATGAAATATCTGAGATTTTCCTGCCTATGTTCTCCTGTAGGACTTATTGTCACAACTTATATTTAAGTTTTTTATCCACCTTAAATTTATTTTTGTGTATGGTAATCCATACACAGCTTACATTTTTTATGTAAGTTAGTGATCGAGTTTCATTTTTTTGCATGTAGCTGTCCAGTTCTCCCAACATCATTTGTTGAAGAGGCTATTTTTACTACATTTTATGCTTCTGTCTCCTTTGTCAAATATAATTGACTGTAGAGATTTGGGTTTACTTCTGGGCTCTCTGTTCTGTTCCATTGGTCCATGTGTTTGTTCTTATGCCAGTACCAGGCTGTTTTGATCACAGTGTCCTTATAATATAGTTTAATATCAGGTACTGTGATCTCTCCTACTTTGTTCTTCTTTCCCAAAATTGCTGCAGCGATTCTGGGTCGTTTATTGTTTTGTATAAATTTTTGAAATGTTTATTCTATATCTGTGAAATGTGCTATTGATACTTTAATAGGGATTGAGTTGAATCTATAAATTGCTTTGGGTAGTATGGACATTTTGATGATGTTAAGTCTTCCATTCCATGAACATGGTACATGCTTCCATTTGTTTGTGTCTTCTTTAATTGCTTTCTTCACTGTTGTGTAGCTTTCTGAGTACAGGTCTTTTACTTCCTTGGTTAGGTTTATTCCTAGGTATTTTATTTTTCTTGTTGCTATATCAAATGGATTTTTTTCTGATTTCTCTTTCTGATATTTCATTGTTGGGGTACAAAAATGCCTTTGATTTGTGAATACTGACTTTGTATCACACTTTTGCCAAATTTACTTATTAGGTCAAGCAGTTTTGGGGTGGAGTCTATAGGATTTTCTATGTACACTATCATGTCATCTGCAAATAATGACAGTTTTGTTTCCTCCTTTCCAATTTGGATACTTTTTTTTTTCTTGTCTGATTGCTGTGGCTAGGACTTCCAATACTATGTTGAATAAAAGTGGACATCCTTATCTTGTTCCTCTTCTTAGTGGGAAATCTTTTAGTTTTGCCTGTTGTGTATGATGTTGGTTATAGGTCTCGTGTATATGGTCTTTATTATGTTGAGGAATGCTCCCTCTATTCCCACTTTGCTGAGTGTTTTTATCATAAATGGGTGCTGTACCTTATCAAATGCTTTTTCTGCATCTATTAATATGATCGTGTGATTTTTGTCTTTCCCTTTGTTTATGTGATGTGTTAATGTTTATTGACTTGTACCAGGGATACAAATGTTGTACCATCCTTGTATCTCTGGGATGAATTCCACCTAATCATGGTGTATGATCTTTTTAATGTATTGCTTAATGTGGTTTCCCAATATTTTGTTAAGGATTTTAGCATCTATGTTTATCAGTGATATTGGCCTGAAGTTTTCTTTCTTTGTTGTATCTTTGTCTGGTTTTGGGATTAGGATGATGCTGGCTTCATAAAAAGAGTTTTGGAGTCTTCCATCTCCTTGGATTTTTTGGAATAGTCTGTGAAGGATAGGGTTAGCTCTTCCTTAAAAGTTTTGTAAAATTCTCCTGTGAAACCATCTGGTCCTGGGCTGTTGTGTGCCAGGAGTTTTTTTGTTTAATGCTTCAATTTCATCAGCTGTTATTGGTCTGTTCAGGCTTTGTGCTTCTTATTCATTCAGTTTTGGAAGATTATGTTTTTCTAGACATTTGTCTGTTTCACCTAGGTTTTCAAATTTCTTGGTGTATAGTTCTTCATAGTTAATTTCTTACAATCCTTTGTATTTCTGCAGTATCATTTGTAATCTCACCTCTTTTATTTCTGATTTTGTTTATTTGCATCCTATCTCTTTTTTTCTTGATGAATCTGCTTAAAGGCTTGTCAATTTTGTTTATCTTTTCAAGGAACCAGCTTCTGGATTGATTGATCCTTAGAATTGTCCTTTTAGTCTCTATGTCATTTAATTCTTCTCTGGTCTTGGTTATTTCCTTCCTTCTCCTTTCTCTGAGCTGTCTTTGTTGTTGTTCCTCCACTTGTTGTAGATGTACGGTTAGGTTGTTTATTTGAAACATTTCTATCTTTTTAGGTAGGCCTGTATTGCTATGAACTTCCCTCCCAGGACTGCCTTTGCTATGTCTCATAAGTTTTGGACTGTCGTGAGTTCATTTTCATTTGTTTCCAGAAACTTGTATTTCTTCCCTGATCTCATTCTTAAACCATTCATTGTTTAATAGCATGCTATTCAGTCTCCATGAGTTTGAATGTTTTTGAGTTTTTTTCCTTGAGGTTGCTTTCTAGTTTCAGTCCCCTGTGGTCAGAGAAAATGTTTGATATGATTTCAGTTTTCTTGAATTTGTTGAGGCTTATTTTTTGTCCTGTCATGTGGTCTGTCTTTGAAAATATTTCACGTACATTTGAAAAGAATGCATATTTTTCTTCTTTGGGATGGAAGGTTCTATATACGTCAGTTAGGTCCGTCTGATCTAGGACATTGTTCAGTGCTGCAATATCTTAGTTAAAAATTTTTTTGGAAGATTTTTGACAATGGGGTGTTAAAACCCCCACTATAATAGTGCTACAGTCAATATCTTTCTTGAAGCCCTCCAAGATTTTCTTTATGTATTTGGGTGCTCCTATGTTGGGTTCATATATGTTTATAATGTTTATGTCTTCTTGATGGATTCTTCCCTTGAGTATTATGAAGTAACCTTCTGGGTCTCTTTTTATGGCCCTTGTTTTGAAGTCTATTTGATTGGAGCATTTAATCCATTAACATTTAAGGTTATTATTTATAGGTATTTATTCATTTTTCCCCTTTGTCGCCTGTGTTCCTCTCTCCCTCACTCTTTTCCTTCCTCTTCTTATAGTACTCCCTTTATAATATCTTGTAGTGTTGGTTTGCTGGAGATGTATTCTTTCAGCCTTCTTTTGTCTGGGAAACTCCTTATTTCACCTTCCATTTTGAGAGCCTTGCTGGGTAGAGTAATCTTTTTGCAGGCCTCTGGTTTTCATTACTTGGAATATGTCTTGCT